TGCCTTTTTACCTTGAGGCCTGAGGGACTGACGAGTCGGTTGGGTCTCTGGCACTTGTTCAGGCATCCCTTCCGTGTCTTCAAATGTGTTGGCTTCTTGTTCGGCTGTGTCTGCTTCTGGCGAACTGTGTAGACCCATACCGTGCATGACAACTTCTGGACCGGTTGCCACAATTTTGTATCTAGGGCAATCTTTGACAATTTGCCAACATTCCCATTTGTTGAATGATTTGTTATGGTTCTTTGCATTGTAGAATGCTTGTGCTTGTAGTGTCTATAAAAATTACATAAAAATTACATAAGAATTGTGGAATGCATAAAAATTATATAAAAATTACATAAAAATTACATAAGTATTTGGAATGCATATTACATAAAAATTACATAAGAAATTAAATAAGAATTGTGGAATGCATAAAAATTATATAAAAATTACATAAGTATTTGGAATGCATATTACATAAAAATTACATATAAGAAATTAAATAAATTAAAATATTGATGTGGGTGGAATGCATATAAATAAATAAAAATATTGTTACCTCATCCGCTAAACTTGTCCCACTACGCAAATTACCAGAAGCATGAGAGAGGGCGTTTTTCCAACAAGTAAAGGATGCGTTGAGTTTTTTCCAACGACCTTGAAGACCTTGACTAGATCTGGCATCTTTTCCATGTACATCGTTGAACGATTTCGTAATTTTACTCCACATTTCTCGCTTATCCATCTCATTACCCGTAATCGGGTCATGAGTAGTGCGAACCCAACATTCACACAACGTAACATCTTCACTGAGCTTTCACGAAGTCATTTTTTTCTCTCAAAGTGTACAAAATATTCAAATGTAGAAAGTGTAGAAAGTGTAGAAAATATTGAAATGTGGTGTAAGGTGGAAGATGAGGGTTAGGTATTTATAGAAAAAAAAAATTAATTTTTTCAAATTTTTCTGTATTTTTTTAAAAAATTTTGACATTTTTTAATTAATTTTTAATAAATTTTAATGTTGTAATTAATCGGGACCGTTGGATTTGAAAAATAATCAAATCCAACAGCACTCATTACGCCACGTGGCCAACGGTCAAATTTTTGACCGTTGGGCCTTTTTTTTTTTTTTTTTTTAAATTTTTGGTGAAATAAACGTGGACCGTTGATCTGTGATCGGACGGTCCAATTTAAAATTTAAATTTAAATTTTTTTTACCGTTGGAAATCCAACGGCCTAAAAAACTAGCCGTTGGAAATCCAACGGCTCTGAGGAGGCCACGTTTCCTTCACCCGGACGACTGCAAGTGGGTCTGCACGCGGGCCCCAGCGCCTGCAAAGCTGTCGGCTACGCGCCGCGCCCCCCGCGTGTTGTGCACGCGCCAGAAATAGACCGGGGAATGGGTCTGTCCATTTTGGGCTGGGCTCTTGACTGGCACGGGCTGGGTGCCAGGCAAGTTGGCGGGCTGGAGCACATATGGAGCATGCTGGGCTGTTATTTGGACTTGGTGCTGGGCCAAAAAAGCTCCGGTGGAGCTGCTCTTATGTGGAGACTACATCCGAAACCAGATTTCATGCTGACAGGTGAATGACGTCGCTAAGTTTTCAAAACAAACTAGTTTGGGAAAGGGAGAATCGAATTTGGAATTCCGGATACAACAGTGAACACTCTTAGCTAACAAACTACCACATGCTACAAGATTATGGCTTGAAATTCTTAAGCGATCCAACTGATAAAATGATTATACCATATACACATTACAGTCTCGACTCCGTCGTAGCACAATATTGTCCGTTTTAGGCTTACCATTCCCTCATGGTTTTGTTTCTGGGAACTCACGAGCAATTTCTCGGTGAGTTACCCATCCTAGGATTGCTCTCGCCTAAACTCGCTTAACTTCGGAGTTCCGATGGAATCCGAAGCCAATGAGTTCTCATAAAACCTTGTGCTATAGGGAGGGGAGTATGTACATATAAGGTGCTATAGGGAGGGAAGTATGTACATATAAGGCACATCACCCCTTTTTCGTTGGTCTATGTGGAATCTCACAATAATGATTCTGAAATTACCAAGTATCGATCAACTAGGAAGCCTTGGTAGGCCTCCGAAAGATCCTTGCTTCGATGCCCTTGCCTAAGCACACAAACCAACCTCACAACGAGTGATGGCCATGACACGTGGCTTTTCTCATAATTAATTGGAAACTTCTCTCCAACTTGAAAGCCAATCATAATGCGGCAAGTAGCAACGTCACATTAAATGTATTCAATCCCACATTGGTCAAGTAAGGAAATCTACTCCAACTTTACCTCTCTTGACACCTATGGTACAGTTCTTGCTAAATCTATGACCCATGTGACCTCAGAGTCCTCAAATAGCATCCTTGTCCCTGGTCATTGGAGACCTATGGCGTTGTGTCGACGACGGTGACTTTGGCTTGAGATGTTCTCTGCCAACCACCCCTCTGTGTTGTCCTTAAAAACATTGAGCGATCCACATCTTTCTGCCACCTACGCTCCTGCCACCTCTATGCCAACGTCTCTTCTGTGGACAAGTTATTGACATTAGTGTAACTTTAAGTTAGTTACATGTGTGTTGCTTTGGCCATTGGTTTGCGTTTACGTGGTCTTGCTATTTGCGACGATTTTGTGTGAGGATATTGATGCCAGGTTTCTCATGCCTATTGTATTTGTGACAAATTTACTTCGAGACTCTTGGTTCTAGTGGTTATTGTTGAGGCTGTATAGGGATTTAAATCTTTTACGTTCTATGCGAATTATTCCAGATCAAGAAATTGATCACTAAAGAATACTCATTTGACACCTCTTCTATTTGGTGATTTTTGTTAATGAAACATATTCTAATAATGACTTGATCATTTTTTTCACTCCTCACAAGTCACCACTTAACCTAATTAGCTGGAAAAAAAAATCGTAATTAATTGTTCATAAAAAGAATATAATAAGTGGTAATTGTCGCGGGTTTTGTCTCCAAAATAATGAAGTTAGAAATAACATAGCCTCATTTGATAAAGAGAGATTACTTTGGATATGACTATTTATTATATTAAAAGCATTTTAAAAGAAGAGATGAATAACAATTTATTCTATTTAGACTTGTGAGTCTAGAGAACGTAAATCCTAAACAAGATTTTCGCGTATCATTTTTCTCTTCGTTCACATCTCTGTTTCACCTTCACTTCCCAAAACAAACCATCCCTCATCTACATTCCAAAAAGGCATAAACGAAGAAGAGAAATGATTCGGATACCCTCTCAACCTCATGATTCACAAAACAATATTTTTCCTTGATTTGTATCATTTCATTATTTTATATATGAATATGGTCAAGTCACACCATCAGCTCGATTATAATAAGGAGTAATCATAACTGTATAGTATCATGATATTTTCTGTGCGGCTTTTCTCTAGATACAATGCATGTGTCATACTCACTGCATGACTTTGACAACTACTACATTCATTTTATTATTTTGTTATGACTTATCCAAAATCACTGAAAGCTGAAACCATACGACTATAAAATTAAGAGTTTAAGGTGTCTTTATAAAACTTTATTTGTCCATTTTCTTCACTACAAATGAACGTTTTAATAATTTTAGATTTGTCTAATTTTTTTCACAGATGATCTATGAATGTTGTTCTAAAAGATAATCAGTTTGAATGGTTAAAATAGATTATGGAATGTGCCCTACATAAACGTGTGTCAAAAATTACGTAAAATAATTGGCACGGATCCCCGTATATATCTTAACTTGATGGTTCAAAATTCAAATGATATTGAGTCTTGCAAGTCGGCTAGCTAGAGCAGTAATCCTTTTTCTACACTTGAGTTCAAATTATCATTCTCCTAACTTAATAAAATTCCAATATCGCACAAGAAAATGTAAATGAAAATTTTACTAGATGATAAGGCTAACCCTAAATACGGGAAGCAGAAAGCCCTTGGAAATTAAAGATCCTAGCCGACCGGAAGGTTTTGAATCTGCAGCCACTAATTTTTTCAAGAACTTAATTTTGGGTTTCAGTTTTTGTCCCTTTCTCTGGAATTTTCTAAGATAATGATGAAGAGGAGGAAAACGACTTGTTCATAGTCTTGTCGATTTCTAAGTCCCCAACTTGATGAGGAGGACACTCACTCGCACCTCACGTCGACAATTTTTCAACCAATCAATTTTTACATAGAATATGTTTGTTAATTGTATTTATGACATTTAGTGTATCAGATCTTATTTCCAACACATTAAAAAATTTCTCTTCACTATGAGCTCCTAATTTTTGTTTCTCTAGTTTGCAAGGAAACCCCACTGTATTTCTCTTCAAGTTACACTATTAGTTACGTACATATATATATATATATACACATATATCATTATATCTACCATACTTAATTTGCGACTTTTCACTTCCAGTATTTATGCATGAATTAGGTTACTTATGCACGAACGATACGTCGCATCAGCTTGTCACAATAAAATCACATCATTCTAATTGAGTTACTTATAATTATGTTTCAAATTCGTTGCGATATATATTGTTTTACTCATCTATAAAAGTCGAATTTTAGACCTCTTGCAACCAAATAGAGACAACTAAACTATATCGTATGGTAGTAGGTAGACTAATTTCCCATAACCTCTCTCCAATAATTTGTTCATCTTTTGGTTAATATAGATATGAAAACCGTTACATAGGTTCTCTTATGTATTTGGTGGACCATGACTAATAGACTAGTTTAATTAAGTAGATTGCCTTTATTTATAGTAAATTTAGTCTTAAAATGGAAGTCAGTCCTGTATTAATTACGTCAAAAAGAGGTTAATTTGTTTGATAAGACGGGCATATGTTTTGACTGAGATGCCTCTTTGAAAACATAAGAAAATGAGTTCCCCTCATTTATTACCTTAAAGTTAAGTGGTTTTTAACATTTGGTACATAAAATTTTTTTCATTCTAAAATAGTATATAAAATTATAATTTTGAAACATTTTCATACATCTGTTAAAGTTACTGGTAAATTTATTGTTAAATAATGACGTAATATCCGCATGAACAATGATTAAACGTTACGTGAATATAAAAAAATAAAAAAAACTTTTGGTCTTCTCCCTCACCCCTTCCAACCCCCATCCCTTCTCTGCACCCACCATTCCTCCTCCCTCTTCGACTCCACCCACTCCATCGAAGGATGAGCATAGCCATCGAAAAGGTAATAGGACTTAGCCTCGGGGTTGATACCGGTACTGATGATGACGGCGATGATGAGTCCGTAAATACCCAACACTCCCGCCATAACTACCGGCACGATCGACTTCATCACCAGCTCCGGCCTCGTCACTCCCATCGACGCCACTCCTACTCTGCTCTTTGCCGTCCCATACGCCGCTCCCATACCTGCAAAACACACAAAATCTGATCAAAATCCCTATATCCGCCCGGAACAAACCCTATGCGCTTAGATCTGGGCCGAATCGGAACATACAGGAGAAGACGAGGGCCGCACCGGCGCCTAGGAACCCGAAGAACGGTGCCGTGGGTCCAGGAGGAGATCCGGAGCCTGATAGGGTTTAGGAGAATGTGGACTTGGAGAGGGAGTGGGAATGGTGGATTCGTTGAAGACGGAACGGTCGATTTTGGGGATCAATACGTCATCGTCGAAGCGGCGGGTGGGGTGGGATTGAGAAGGGGAGGAGGATGAGGTGAGGGAGAGAGAGTAGAGGTCTGATTGAGAGAGGAGGTCGAGGTCAATGAGAGGGAGGGATTCAAGGTGGAGGTGGTTAGGGTTAGGGTTGGGGTTGTGGTGGTCGACGGCGAGCCGGAAGGCCATGGCAATGAACTGTGAGAGGAAGAAAGAGAGATTTGGGAGGAGAAGAAGAAACCAAAAAGTAGACGAGGGTGGATGTTAAACGATGAGGCGTTTCGGTATCCGACTTTTGATTGACTGGCGCGAAGAGGGAGGGGGAAGGGTGGTTGCGGAGTAGAGAAGGGAAGCGAGTCGGAAGGGATGAGGGAGAAGAGCAAAAGTTTTTTTTTTTTTTAATTTTTTAATTTTTTTTTAATATCCACATGGTGCTAAATCATTGTTCACATGGATGTCACGTCATTAGTTAACGGCAAATTTAATAGCAACCTTAATGGATGTATAAAAGTGTTCCAAAATTATAATTTTATGTACCACTCTTGGATGAAAAAAACTTTATATACTAAATGTTGAAAATCAAGAAACTTTAGGATAGTAAACTGAGATTGACCCTAAGAAAATATAGGTTTTTTAGTCAAAATTTCTTAGGAATTGGTACAAGTTCTCACTCTGGTCTTTGACATTGGTATAATTCATTACTTAGTTCTTGAGATTTAAAATCGATATAACGGGTCATTGAGTTTATTTACCGTCAATCATTTTAGTCTTTCTGTGATAAAATAAATTGACACAAAACTCCTACTTTTTGTTAACTCATTTTGACTCATTGTTCATTAAATTGAGGGTATTTGTCATTTTGATCCTTATTTAAACAAATATTTTCACGGAATGATCAAAATGATTCATGATGGACAAACTCAGGGATCAGTTCTATCGATTTTAAATCTCAAGGATCAAAATGAAGATTTATACCAATCTCATAAACTATTTTAGCTAAAATGCTGAAAATATATCTATATACTAATACTATATGCTATGCCAGTAGAGATGATGAGAAATATATTCTCCACTTGAAATAATATTCATTAACTCTTTGTTGCACTATAAAAAGTTTGGTTCTTTATATGTAAGAAATCATTCATTTTTGTAGAAAAAAAAAAAAATTTAACACGTATGTATATAAATTTTCGTTTTATGATCACAATGAATTACTTTTGTGCATGTGTCAAGTTGTGATTTGTATTAAAAAAAAAGTCAAATAATTTTTGTTTGTATATAAGTGTTACAAATAGTGATCAAACCTTTAAGGTAGCTTCAAATTAATTTAATTTGTAATTAGATTTAGTTAAACAATGGATTGGTTGACCACATATAAACAACATATTCTTTTGTGGGGCAAGATTGAGTTGTAGACCATACCGAATGCAAGTTGTATGTTAATATTCATATATTCTATTTATATTTTAAATTCCAAAACCATGGGCCATCCATTGATTGGATATTATATTCATACAATAATTTTGCTCAAATTTCTGAAAAAATGCACCTTGAAAAAATACTTATAGAACACTAGCTTTTTGTACTTGCATACAAAATGCTTTAAAGAAACATTAATATAACTATTAATCAATCTCATAATCATATATACTTCGATTTACGTCAATTATTATTGATGTGAACTTTGAAATAAGACTTTATACCTATACCACTCGAATCGATAAAATACAATGCTGAGTGAAATATGTGTAAATGAGTTTCTTCCTCCAAAGTAATTTGAAATCCATTAGTAGAATTTTGTCTCAATCATCATTAATTAAAATGGAGGCAGATTGTCTACCCTCTTGTTTGGATGTCATTCCGATCTCCTCCTATTTGTGCAGTCACGTCAACATTTTATATTCCTATTGTTGTTTGTCTTATTATCTTTATAAAAATATCAATATAAAATATTAACGTAGCTTAACCGTGACCGTACAAAATAAAAAAAGATAAAAATAGCATCCAAATAGGAGGACAGACAATCTGCCTTCCATTAAAATATCACGGAGTGTGAAGTGAATAGGTTTACTAGGTTTTTGCTGTGATTTATATACAAACTGATTGGACCTCTTCCTTTTTAGCTATCCGACATGAGTGTCATCATCAAATCCATCCCAACTAGTCTTGGAAGATAGCACCACAATTTTGTCGAATATCATGCATTGCATTCTACACATATTGCTATAAATGATATGGTGCTTGTGGTGGATCGATTATGACTTTTGATGCAACTAAATATTTACAGGGGATGAATCTGTGGTACATGGTTTTTGACATACATTTTTAGGGGATTATTTTGTAATGTATTTCAATAATTTGAACCATTTATTTTTTAAGGTTTTCTCTATGAATAGTGTTTTAAAAGGTAGACGGTTCAAATCGTTATAATACATTACAAAGTGAAGCTCACAAAAACGTGTGTTAAAAATTATAGAAAAAATAATGTCACGAATTCACTCTGTATTTATAATATAAACAATCAAAATTAATGATATATGTACTTGTTTTTTATATCAAAATTATGGATTTCATTCAAACAATGAAAAGGTGATTAGAAAATAATGACATCCGCTAAATTTGATAAGAAAAATGAAATTATTATTCTGAAAACCAAGATCGAAGGCCTTTTCGTTACCAAGATTTTAGTAGTTTAAAGATTAAAATTTCCCATAATTTGCTTCGAGCATACTGCCATGAATTCTTCATGCTCGTACCAATGATTACACATTCATACTTGTACACGTAACAAATTCTTTCGTTCTAAATAGGTAAACATGTCATAACATCAACAAATAATAAAATAATAACCACACATTCCTACTTGTACATGTATCAAATTCTCTCGTTCTAAATAGATAAACATGTCATAACATCATAAAATGATAAAACACAATTGTAGATAGGAAAATGATGGGGGGAAACAATGAGAGAGCTAGCTAGGGCAACAAACCACCCAAACCCAACGGCTTGACTCAGCATCCAACAGGATGTCATGACGATCAACGGTAAAGAGTGAGCTAAAATTTCTACGGACCAGATGAGGGTTTGAGGCAGCAGCTCGCAGCCATAAGCTATCATGCGTCGCTGGCGCGCAAATAAAAGAGATGTGCCACGTCACACAATAAAACCACCCTTTGCGGCACAGCTGTCCACGAAGATCAGGTTACTGCGGCAAATATTGTGTCACGAGTCAGCTCCTCCCTTAAGGTCCCACAAATACAAGAGAAATGCTGCGCAGCGAATTGAGATTTTTTCCAATCTGGCTGTTTAGAGTCAAACTCCGTATGTGTAAGTTTATATTACATTGTAGATCTCGAGTTCAAATAAAGGAGGAGAGGAAGGGCATCCGATAGTCGACAGCCGACAACCGACAGCCGACAGCCGACATTTTTATTTTACGTTGAATTCTTTATGCCGACTCCTCTTAGTAAAAAAAAAACGTTGTTATTGTTGTTTTGACTATTCAGAATCCAAAGAGTAAAAAATTTGACCGTTGAAATGGGTGAGATTTGAGCTTTGTTCAATGTGAGATACATTGAATCATGTCATGCGTAAACGAGACTCTTATAATTTCATCTCCTTGTTCCAATTATAGTATCACCCATAATGAGACCTGCTCTAGACAAACAATTGTACCAAAGTTTTTTTTTACTGTTACCTTTGGTTACCCTAAGTCAAATTATGCCAAAAACAAAGATACAAAGTGTTTCTTTGGGACAGGTTATATCTTTAAAAGATTGCCCACTTTCCTTTCTGGATTATTGGATTTTCTTTCTTTTCTTTTTCATGGGTTCATTTGATCTTGTAACTAGGTAAGTTATGAGGAAAGGGATCCTCTCTGAATCCCTTCCTTCTAATCTATCAAGTCCGGAGATTCGGATCATTGAAATTTGATCTAACGGCTAAAATTATTATAACTTTTAAAGTGGGTCCCTGTTTGTAGTCGTTGAATCAAATTTTAAAGGTCCGGATCACTGGACTTGATAAATTAGGAAGAAGGGATCTGGAGAGGATCCATTTCCAAGTTATGAACGTCCTTGTCACATATAAATTGATAAAATAATAAAAGCAAGAACCAGCCTTAAGAAATGGAAAACAAAGAAAGCAAAAACGTTGGTTAAAGCTAAAGCAGATTTCAAAGGGCAAAACTAGTTTATCTACATCTACATGATTAAAATTGCCTATGTTCCATGACTTGATGAATTTAACGACTTCGATTATGAAAGTTCACACTGTGTTATTTGCAAATAAAAAAATAAATTTATTGCCCTAAAAGAGAATGCAAACATTATTTATCCTAAAAAGATACATATAATGAGAATATATAAGCGTATCAGATATCTTTCAAGCACGAAAAAAACTTCAGCTATACTCGATTGAACTACGACTTTAATTTCAGTTATTGACATTAAATATCACTTGCATGACTAAAATCGCGATTAACCAATTTAAGAAAAACAATAGTATCAAAGATTGACATTGGAAAAAAAATCAAATAATAAAACCAAACTACTTTGCTAATTTTTTATCCTTCCACTCACATCACAGTTAAACCACTCCAAGACAGCATCTGCTGCAGTGACACTGCAATTGCACCACCTGACATCGAGCAATCCCAAATCGCCACGTTTCCAACCTCCCATTCATCCCTCCAAATGCATAACGACGACGTTTGACTGTTTCATGCCTTTGTTTTGTCGCCTTCTCTTTATCTTTTCCGCCCCCTACCCGCTTTCCTCTACATTCCCCTCCCTTTTGTTTTTATGAGGCGCATAATTATTAGTAAAGACCCCTAATTACTCAAAGTCCGATTCAATCGCCGCCGGCTTCCGCCGTATCAGATCCGTCTTCTCAGATCATGCGCTTCGTGTCCACGCCGACTCCATTCTCCCGCGCGAGCTTCTCGTAGATCGTGCTTCTTCTCGCTCCTCTCTCTTTCCACTTGTCCCTGCTCGTTCCTTGACACGTTGCGGCGTTTCTCTGAGATTGTGATTTTGTAAGCGGCGGCGGCGCGTGGTCGTTTTGATTCTTTTTTTTGGAAGTGGATTTGGATATATTACGGTTAAGGGGTCTGGTTTTGGGAATCCAGTTTCTATTTTTGGAAATATTTGGAGTTGGGGATTCGGAGCTCCGAAAACCCGATCTTGAACTTGAATTAAAGCATTCAAATATTTTCCCACTTTTGACTCTGAAACTTTTTGTTATAAATAGCAGTAAGTGTTTTTCAGTGAGAGTATTTTCGTCCGGCGACGTTTCTTATTAGCAATGGAAGACCGAAACGTCCGGTGTAGGATTTCCGACGTCGTTATGGACGTCGTGATGCCGTATCTGCACGACCCGAAGGACCGCGACGCCGTGTCGTTGGTGTGCAAGCGGTGGTACGAGCTCGACGCGCTCACGCGGAAGCACGTGACCATCGCGCTCTGTTACACCACTACCCCCGATCGGCTGCGGCAGCGGTTTCAGCACCTGGAGTCGCTGAAGCTGAAGGGGAAGCCGAGGGCGGCGATGTTCAATCTGATTCCGGAGGACTGGGGAGGGTATGTGACGCCGTGGGTGAGGGAGATCGCCGACTCCTTCCACCGCTTGACGTGTCTGCACTTTCGGCGGATGATTGTTAGGGATTCGGACCTGGAGCTGCTGGCTGAGACGCGCGGGCGCGTGCTCCAGGTGCTTAAGCTCGACAAGTGCTCAGGGTTTTCCACCGATGGGCTTTTCCACATCGGCCACTCCTGCAGGTAGTAAAGTTCACAACTTTATGTGAAATTGTTTTACTTGCGGTGAATTTTGTTGTGGGTTCAATCAGAAACTTTTGATGCATTCATTGTTTTGGTAAAAATTGAAGCACAAAGTTATATTGTTTCATGCTGCATAGTTTCATTACTCTTTGAAGTTTTCTTTCGAGTATCGATTAAATAATTCTATGTTTGGACGAGGGACGTTTATAGCCTGACTGCAGCAGTATGAATTACATTGCTGATTATAAATTTTAGTTGCAGGGATTGCTTATGGATCTTTCATTCTTTCATTATCTCTCACACAATTCAGCATGTTGTTTCGTTTGTTATTTGTTCGCGAAAGCCTTGTTTCAGGCAGTTTCTAGCACTTCCGTGATCCCCAAAACATCGCATTTCGGAACTTTCTTGGGGGGCATTCGTGTAGTAAACATCGCATGCACACATCCACGAACCCTTGTTCTTGTATACATGTTAATGCAGCTTTTGCAATCATTCTCAACTAAGTAATTTTTTTTCTCTAACTGTTCTGGAGAGACGTTAAAAGATGTTGTTTTTATCATTATATGCTTTTGTAGGAATTTGAGGACCTTGTTTTTGGAAGAGAGCTCCATAAAGGAGAAGGACGGCAATTGGCTACACGAGCTTGCTGAGAACAACACTGTCCTGGAGACTCTGAATTTTTATATGACGGATCTTATCAAAGTCAAAATCGAAGACCTTGAACACATAGCCAAAAACTGTCGCTCCTTATCCTCTGTGAAGACTAGTGATTGCGAAATCTTGGATCTAGTGGGCTTCTTCCGTAATGCAGCTGTCTTGGAAGAGTTTTGTGGGGGTTTCTTCAACGAGCAATCAGAGAGGTACTCTGTTGTAACTTTACCCCAAAAACTTTGCCGTCTGGGTCTAACGTACATGGGAAAGAACGAAATGCCAATAGTATTCCCATTCGCAACCCTTCTCAAAAAGCTCGATCTTCTTTATGCGTTGCTGGACACTGAGGACCATTGCACATTAATTCAAAGGTGCCCCAACCTGGAAATTCTCGAGGTAGGATTATAAAACCATTTTTTCTGCTTTCTAATTTGTTGTCTTTTCGTGTGCATGCAAATGCGCATGTTGAGTGTGTCGAAGTACAATAATTGATTGGAATACTAGTACAAGAACTCGCTATATTGTTTGTGACTAAATCAAATATTTCGCATGGGTCACAAATAATGCTCTGTTTATTGTGCTTAGTTATATATAGGTTTTAAGTTTTAAGATACCAAAAAATTCATTTGAAATTTCATTCATCATCAGGAGTGTCTTGAATGATTTTGCTTTGGAGCAGGATTCGTATTCGAAACTTAAAACTTTAATTTGGTTATATTTTCGGCAGACAAGGAACGTTATTGGAGATAGAGGACTAGAAGTTCTTGCTCGGAGTTGCAAGAGACTAAGGAGGCTCCGAATTGAGCGGGGCGCAGATGAACCAGACATGGAGCACGAAGAAGGTGTTGTTTCACAACGGGGTCTGATGGCCCTGGCACAGGGCTGCCTAGAGCTCGAATACGTGGCTGTTTATGTATCGGACATCACCAATGCATGTCTGGAATACATTGGGACTTACTCTAAAAATCTCTCTGATTTTCGCCTTGTCTTGCTGGACCGAGAAGAGACAATAACAGATTTGCCACTTGACAATGGGGTTCGAGCTCTTTTGAGGGGATGCCAGAAGCTTCGTAGGTTTGCTCTGTATCTCCGTCGTGGGGGCTTGACTGATCTGGGACTGAGTTATATCGGCCAGTACAGTCAGAATGTGAGATGGATGCTTCTGGGTTATGTTGGGGAATCTGATGCAGGGCTTTTGGCTTTCTCAAAGGGTTGCCCTAGCCTGCAAAAATTGGAAATGAGGGGTTGCTGCTTCAGCGAGCGTGCACTCGCTGATGCTGTAATGCAACTGACTTCCCTTAGGTACTTGTGGGTGCAGGGGTACAGAGGATCTGGAACTGGTCGCGACCTTTTGGCAATGGCTCGCCCATTTTGGAATATCGAGTTGATTCCTCCGAGACGAGTTGATGTTCCTGATCAGCAGGGAGTCGAGCATCCAGCCCATATACTTGCATACTACTCACTTGCTGGACCGAGAACAGATTTTCCAGACAGTGTTATTCCCGTTGATCCGGCATCCTTGCTCTCCTTCTAGATCTGTAAATACAACCTCTTTTTTTATTCCACAAGCAGTCATTTTCTTGCCACGCCTTGTTTATAAGTTGATGTAACTTTTTTACTTTTCTTTAGAGGGTTTCGTTTTCATATTTTCAATTTTATTTCTAGACTCTTAGTTCTGTAATAAGTTTGAGTTATCCTGTGTAATCTGAAAGCACTTGCACTCTTTGACCCCAAACTGTTTCGGTCCTCTTTTCCGGACAGTTTGCTTCAATTTCAAGCCTGTAGCGACTGGTATTTGTTTGCTGAGGACAATCTTGCTGGGAAACTATTGTACTTTCTGGAGCGCAATGTGGCGGTGTTGCAAGTTTTTGAATAAAATTGAAGAGTGATTTTGCTTGCCCGAATTTGTGAATCTGTCATGGTTTGATTCCTACCTTAGTTGTTCTTGTCATACCCTCCGACTTCGTCGAGTTTGTTTCCCAACTTGAGTTCTAATACAATGTGAAGCTGCTGATTGTTACAATCGCAGAATAAACTTGGATGACGAGAACGTCTCTAATGGGAGTCCCTATTTAAGGACTTCCACCAAAGGATTCCCACCATCACCTTTGAGAACTCATTTGTGGGTTTAAAAGGAGTCTTTGTGCACTTAACGGAGTATTGCGTTCAATGAAAAAGTCCGTATAATAAAAACCCTAAATTTGAGGTTTATAAACCGTAGATCTCCATCTGTAAAAAGGCACCAAAACCCACAATCAATCTCCACCGTTGATTGCAGTATCTTGTTCTCAGATTCATCGGAAGGCCTTGGATCTCATATATGAGGACTGTACGATTGATATAGAGCACCACTGGAGATGCTCTAATGTAGCGACAACTTGTCGATCATTGGACACCTAAAGATTAAGCCAACAGGGAACAAGCAAGCAACCCACTACACACCAAGTGTAGAATACATGTATTTGTGTTCCAGTTCGCATCTTTCTTCACAGTGTTGGACCTGGAGCAAAACACCAGCCGAGGAAGAAGTAGCAAAATCTCCTTTAATGGCTAGGTAGTGATGTTGGGACCTCGTCCATGGTAATGAACTACAATGCTGCAAGAATTATATGCAACTCAACTTGTAGACGAGGAAATTTTCTCTCGTACAACGATATGTGTCTATCTTTTTTATCATGTGATCATCTATGTCAAGAAAAATGATTCTCTACAATTGGTTACGCCCATGAATGGTTGGTTGTGAAGGGACAAAGTTTTGGTCCCTTAGGCCATCTCTAACCGAAGGGTTCAGAGGGCTGAAAATAGCTTGAAAACCGTCTCCAACCGAGGGCTAGGCCGGAGGGCTGTAGAATCTCAGAGGGCCCCACGGAAGCAGAGAGGGCCAGAGGGCTGGCCAGAAATACTGGGAATCCTGTCGATTATTTTGAAACCAACGGCTAGCTGACGCCAGCTAGCCATTGCTAGCTAGCGCCAGTTACCGTTGGATTCAATTTTTTTTTTTTTAGGGTTTTTTGGGTCTTTTTTTTTTTTTTTTTTTTTTTTTAATTTCTATTTTTTTTCCCTATAAATACCTAAACCATTCCTCACAAAATTTTCACCATTCCTACCATTTCAATTCTCATATTTTCCTTCCTCTTTCAAAAATCTATCCTTCAATTTTTTTAATAATTTTGAAATGGCCTCTTCTGCAATGAAAGGTAGGGCTTGGACACGAAAAGAAGATGAATCTCTTTGCAAGGCTTATAGATGGGTGTCGGAAGATAGTGTGTGGGGAATGGTCAAACAAATGACGGTGTTTGGACTCGTGTGTCCAAAAAATACTTAGAGTTCAATGAAAGCACCACTCCAGTGAATATTCGAAACCACGAGAGTTGTTCTTCAAGAGGGAAGAAACATCTTCAGCTAAATTTGAACAAATGGCATCAAACATTGTTAGCAGCCACAAGTAGACATGAAAGCGGCGTTAATTACTACGACGAAGTAAGTGTTTTCACAATTTATTTTAAATATTTAATTATATTACATTTAATTTCATAAATTAATTTCCTTTAATTTTTTTCTAGGTACGCCAAGCGGAGGAATTGTATATGGAGAGCAGCTCGAAACCCTTTCAATTTCACAGTTGTTGGGAAATTTGTAAAAGGTGGGTGTTATTTGAAGATCCACCAAAGAGAGCTCCTACCCTAGTGTTCGAAACTGCATCCTCAGCTGTAGATATGGATGAAGATGGATCTCCAACCATTCAACAAAAAAGGGTAGAAAATCCGTCTTCGGTTGAAGGTTCCATACCTAGGGCTATGGGACGAAACAAGGCGCGAAGGTTGAAGGAAAAGGGTAAGGCAAATGATAATTACGCCGCTCAACATGAAGTGGCAGCCTCATTGCAATTATTGGCGAAGCAAAATGCCCTTGAGGCCAAAGAAATGAAGCATAGGCATGAAGAACGGGCAAAACAAATACAAGAAGAGATGAATGATAAGAATATGGAAAGGAACACTTCGAATTACACTCCAATGAGTAAGGCCTATTTTGATAGGAAAAAAAAAGAAATTATGAGCCGACGGCAGTTGTTTACCTCTGACTATACTCCTACGATGGCGGATGATGAAGATGATGTTGATTATGGATATTAAATTTAAGTTGTTTTAGTTTTTAAATTTAAGTTAATGTTGTTTTCGAATTTAATTTGTAGTTTTTAAATTTAATTTGTCGTTTTTAAATTTTAGTTGTAATTTTTAAATATAAGTTGTAGTTTTTAAATTTAAGTTGTTGTTTTTAAATTTAAGTTGTTGTAGTTTTTAAATTTAAATAATAAATTATGTTTGGCCCTTTGGCCCTTGGTTGGAGACGGAGGCAAATATGACCCTGTACTGTTCATTAAAATATTAATATCTTGGAGAATCTTGGAGGGCCAGAAGGCTAAAACGAGCCTTCTGGCCAGCCACCATCTCCAATCGAAGGGTCCTGAAGGCCAGAGGGTCGAAAATAGCCCGAAAACCGTCTCCAACTGAGGGCTAGGCTAGAGGGCTCTGGAATCTGAGAGGGCCCCACGGAATCGGAGAGGGCTAGAGGGCCCGGGCTGGCTGGCTAGAAAATTCAGTTTTCCTGTCGGTTATAACCGACAGGAATGCTTAAGAAAAAAATTCAAATGCAATGGCTAGCTGACGTCAGCTAGCTGTTGCATTTGAATTTTTTTTTTTTTTTTATAGTTTTATTATTATTTTTTATTTACAAAATTTTTCCTATAACTTCTATTTTTAATATTTTTTTTAAATTCTATTTTTTCCTATAACTTTTATTTTACAAAATTTGTTTCATTTTTTTTTTAAATTCCATTTTTTCCTACAACTTCTATTTCACATAGTTGCTTTATTTTATTTTAAATTCTATTCTTATCCTATAACTTCTATTTCACAAAATTTGTTTCATATTTTTTTTAAATTATATTTTTTTCCTATAACTTCCTAAGCCATTATACAACATTAAATTAAATTAAGTAACATGAAACAACATTAAACAATATGAAATAACATTAAATAACATTAACCAACATACAAATTATACAACATAAAAAAAATATTTAACAACATGAAACTTAAACAACATTTTAAAAAACATTTAACATAAAACTTAAACGCCTACTCCATGCTTCTTTTGACCCAAAGATGTGCAACAAGATTATGTTGTAGGTACTTTTTTGTGGCACGAGAACGTATCATTCTATAGCGCCTCATGTACTCATTTATAGAGATACTATCAGTTCTTAGATTGAAAGGCAAATTAGGCCCATCATATATTTTTGCACGAGCCCTTCTTGACCTATTTGGATCTTCTTGATTGTCATCAGACTCTCCATCAATATACTTATCTAGCTCATCCTCCACTATCATATTGTGTAATATGATGCAAGACATCATGATGGAGTCCAAATTTTCTCGACTCCACCCTCTTGCCGGTTCGCTAATAATCTTCCACCGTGCTTGTAGAATACCGAAAGCTCTCTCAACATCTTTCCGGTATGCTTCTTAGTGTAAGGTCAACAACTTTTCTGCGTCATTCCTAGGGTTTGGAATTGCTTGGACAAATGTCGCCCACTTTGGGTAGATGTCATCTGCCAAGTAATACCCCATATTATATTGACGGTTGTTAATGTAGTAGTGAAGTTGAGGTGCTTTACCTTCCGTCAAGTTATTGAAGAAGGGTGAACGCCCAAGAACTGTAATGTCATTTTGGGATCCAGGGACTCCAAAGAAAGCATGCCAAATCCATGTGTCATATGAGACAACCGCCTCTAACACAATAGTTGGCTTTCTCGACCTTCCACTAAAGCCTCATTGCCATCCGGTGGGATAGTTCTTCCAATCCCAATGCTTGCAGTCTAATGACCTTATCATGCCCGGAAACCCACAGTTTTCAGCTTTGCGAATGAGCTGATTCAGATCTTCTTGATTTGGCTCGTGGAGGTACTCGTCATTGTGAACCTGAACAATTGTGTCACAGAATTGTTGAAGAGTATCAAGGCATGTAGACTCAAACATACCATGGGTTTCATCCATCGAATCAGTTGGGGAGCCATAGGCCATCATTCAAAGTGCAACAGTAACCTTCTGATGAGGTGAGAAACCAAGGCGGCCTGCTCTGTCCAGCTTCTGTCGAAAGTATGGATTGACTTGCTGGACATCATGAAGTAAACGCTCGAAGACATGACGCCTCATCCGGAAGCGACATCTGAAATCCTCTTCTGTGTACACCGAGTTGGGGTTGAAGTAGTTGTTCATCAAATTGGCATGCGACATCACTCTGTTTCGTGGTTTGTAAGAGCGACCAGCAATAAAACCACCCCATTGAGGTTGTTCCTCAGTTGGCTGACACACCATGGCCGCAGCCATGACTGCTGCTATGTTTTGTTTGTTGTGTCTTACTTGAACTTCTTCATCACACTCCTTATCTTCTCGTCTCATTTGCGCCCATTTTACTTCCAATTTGAAATTGGATGAGGACCCCCAGTTGGAATCCGAAGAGGATCCAAAGTTGGAATTCATTGTAAACTTGAATTGAAAGAGATTGAATTCAAAGTTGTGTGAATTATAGCCCAATATCCACCCTATTTATAGCAAAAGAAAATTTCAAATCCAACGGCTAGCTGACGTCAGCATGATGTCAACTACAAACAGCTAGCTGACGTCACTTAGCCGTTGGATTTGAATTTAAGTTGTAGTTTTAAAATAATAAATTATGTTTGGCCCTCCGTTGGAGACAGTTTTTTGTGGCAGGGCTAAAACGAGCTTTCTGGCCCTCTGGCCCTTGGTTGGAGACGGAGGCAAATATGACCCTGTACTATTCATTAAAATATTAATATCTTGGAGAATCTTGGAGGGCCAGAGGGCTAAAATGAGCCATCTGG